CTGGAGTCCAAGAGTTCAAGGCTGCAATGTGCTACAATGATGCCACGGCACTCCAGCCTTGGCAACAGAAACTCTGTCTTTAATAATTAATAATAAAATAAAAATTAAAAGACTGCAAGATGAACACAATTCAGACAAGTCTCTGTTGGCAAAACAAGAGAGAAATCAGAACATTTGTCTCGATCCATTTTGTGCTTCTGTAACAGAATACCTGAGACTGGGTAATTTATCACGAATGGAATTCTGCATAAATTTCCTAGCTCATATTACAGAACTATGTTGAAATGTACTAAAATCCCACTGTTACATTTTCATAATAAACAGAAAAATTCACAAGCCAAAAAACAAAAACAGGGAGGGCCAGGTGCAGTGATTCACGCCTGTAATCCCAGCACTTTCGAAGGCTGAGGTAGGTGGATCACTTAAGACCAGCCTGGGCAACACAGTGAAACCCTGTGTCTATGAAAAATACAAAAATTAGCTGGGTGTGGCAGCCTGCACCTGTGGTCCCAGCTACTTGGGGGTCTGAGGTGGCCTCCCAGATCGCTTGAGCCTGGGCAGTCGAGGCTGCAGTGAGCCATGTTTGCCCAACTGTACTCCAGCCTGAGTAAAAGACCAAGACCCTGTCTCAAAAAACAAACAACAACAAAAAAAAAAAAAAAAAAGAGAGAGAGAAGCTTATATTGCTAAATATAATCTCAGCATCAATAGTGGAACAAAAAAGGAATTAAACACCTTAGGGTGGACAGGCTGGCGTGGTGGTGCATGCCTGTAATCCCAGCACTTGGGAAAGCTGACATGGGAGGATCACTTGAGCTCAGGAATTCAAGACTAGCCTGGGCAACAGAGTGAGATTCCACCTCATTTTTTAAAAAATAAAAAAATAAAGGCGTGGATGATGGTGTGTAAAAAACAAAAATTTACAAACTATTTAAAACCTGGCTTCACTGCCTGTTCAGAAACTACACAGATGGATGTGGGTGGTGGTGAACAGAAAGGGGTTACCATAGGTGAATCTGCGTTATTCTAGCTGTTCCCCATACCACTCATCTCTAAGGAGAACCTGACACTGATTAGCCATGAGCCAGGCCAATGCTGGCAGCAGATCCAGTGATGGTAACTTGCCTATCAGCAGATCCATCTACTGGGTTCACAATTTTGATCTACGCTCCAGACATCTGAAAAATCTCGTTGATGGTGCCTTGATGCCCAATTTTGCAGCCAATAACATCATTTGGAATGATGAGTTTATGAGAAGTGCTCTGAGCAGCACATCCAAACCTGCACCCATGCATTGTGGGAAAACTAGATTGTTGCATTGTCAACTGATGCAGCCTGGTCCACTCTAGAAGTGGTCCCTCCAGGTCACAGTTAAGGTTCATGAACAAAGTGGTATGGTGAAAGCTCACATCGTTGCCACCTGTGCTGTACCTGTCCTGATCACCTGCAAAAATTACAGAATTGGACAGCTTGGGCCAATATGGGGTGGTCATACACTTGGGGGAGACTCCAACATGACCACACAGACCTGTCTGACACACTCAATGATGTACTGCAGAATGCCAGCGATAGTGATGGCTCGCTCAGCGGCACTGGTGAGCATATCCCCTGCCTCTGGACCTAAGCCGTGTACTTTCTCATATTGGAACCACTTTTTCCAATGAGCCACACTAACTAGCAGGGACCACCAGCCTCAGGGTGACTGGGGGTGGGGGCCTACTGGCAGCTGTGCTATTGGTCACGGAGTTATTGCTATCCTCTTCCAATCTGGCTTTGAAGACGGCACTAGTGGGTCCAGGAAAGGTGATAATTCTCTCAGGACAACTCCCTCCATGAATCAGTGGTGCTGATACATGCACCCTCTCCTCATGCATCTTCACTGATGCTCCTTTCTGATGATGCTGCCAACTTCCTTTCCATGCATAAGTAGCCACATGGTGAAAGTGACATTTAATCCAACTTCAATCACACTGGTGTCCATATCAAGCAGTGCTATGGAAAGCTGGACTTGGAATCATCAAGTCTTTCTAATAACTTAGCTAAAACACAAATACACTATACAGCTGTATAGAAATATTTTTCTTTATATTCTATAAGCTTTCTATTCAAAAGTTTTGTTTTTTGCTTTTTATTTTTGTTAAAAACTAAGCTACAGCCCACACATTAGCCTAGGCCTACACAGGGTCAGAATCATCAATATCACCATCTTCCACCTCCATGTCTTGTCCCACTGGAGGGTCTTCAGGGACAGTAACATGCAAGGAGCTGTCATCTCCTGTGATGACAATGCCTGCTTCTGGATACCTCCAGGAGGGCCTGCCTGAGGCTGTTTTACAGTTTGCTTTTTGTTATAAGGAATACACTCTAAAACAGCAATAAACAGGATGTACATAAACCAGTAGCATAGTCATTTAAGTATTATGCACTGTTCATAATTTTATGTGCTGGACCTCTATCTAACCGGCAGCGCAGTAGGCGTGTTTTTACCAGCAACACCAATCACGAGTAACACGTGAGCTCCGAGCTGAGGATGGCTACCAGAGATAGCCTAGGCAATTGGAATTTTTCAGTTCCATATGATCTGAGACCCCTGTCTACATGTGGTGCGTGACTACATATCCTACTGGTTCTCTCTGGACAGCTCGGATACACTGGACACATACTGCATTATCTATGTCCTCTGTTATTTCTCCATTTCTGTCCTGCATCTTAGGACACCATCTCAAGTTAGTCCTCCACATAATGGCTTTGTATTATATACATACAACTTATATCACATACCATTTGTTATTATTTTATATAATACTGATTTTAATTTTAAAGTTCAAGCTTTGCTCCTGTTAAAAGCTTTTCTATGAAATTTTTAAATTTTCCTTTCCTGGTTTCTTCATCTTATACATCTCATTATTTACTTTTGGAAAAAGCAGGGCTTAATGACTTTTAAAAAAACAGCTGTTTCCTACGGTCATGTTTTTCAACAGAACACTCTTCTGCATTTTAATGCTGTTTCTATCCTTCGTATTGCTATAGTCTTTTTCAGGTACTCCCCTTTGAATGGGAAACCTACCCAGGCCTGATGTCTGCCCAGGCTAGACTCAATTTCCTGGGCTCAAGCGATCCTCCTGCCCACCGCATCCCAGGTAGCTGGGACTTGGGCATGCACCACTGTGCCTGGCTTGGTATTTGGCCCTAACATGGCTCTGCTGCACTCATGGCCAACCTCCTGCACCTACTGCCTGCTTCTTATCACAAGGAGAGGTTTACTTCCAGTCTGAAGCAATTGTGATTCTTTTCTTACCAAAATTATGAAAAACTACAATGCCCAGAGTTATCTGCTTCCAGGGTTCTCCCAGGATTACTGCTGATGAAAAACTTGTCCCCCAACTACTTTCACTCCTAGCCATTTGACACTGCTGAGCTCCATGGTTTGCAAGTTACCAAGAGGAGGTACAAGAAGGAATGAAGATGAGAGCTCCGGCTACCCCCAAAGCAGCTCCCACTCCTTCCTTACCATCACAGTCAGCGTCTTTGAGGTGGGGCACACAAAGGTGTGTCAACACAGAAATACCACCTTACAGTTCTTCAAAAGCATTCTTATATCATTCTTCTCTCAATTCCACAAAGCAAGCAAAGAGAATCTCCTGGACCCCACAATTCAACAAAGCAAGCAGATGAAAACCTGGACCCCAAGGGAAGTAGAGGGAAGTTTAATGCATTAAATTTAACATATTAAAATTTCATAATCACCCAGGGAGTACTATCACTAGTATTATCTTTAAGTTACAGCTGAGAAAACTGGTGCTGAGGAAGCTTCAAGACATCTGCCCAAGTCACCTGGCCTCGAAGGGCTGGCCTGGGATTGAACAGAGTCCGCTTTTCCAGGATCACTCTTCCTTACTTACCACGCTGACCCTCAGCACAAGAAGAGGCTCTAGCTCCAGCTGGGACCAGATTCCAGGTCATATGATGTCAGCTCAGGGCTCTGCAAACACATTTCTGAATGAATACAAATTTTGCAACAAGGGAAATGCTCAGCTTTCTGCCTTCACAATATGGTCATCAACACACCATGCACAAGACTTCCAAAACTTGATTATGTAAAGGAAGCCTACACTCCTTCAAATCATTACCAAAAACAATAAATATACTGAACCTAGAAAATATAAATGGGTAAGTACTCTAAATCTATAAATGATTCAATAACTTAAAAGGCGAAAAAGAAAGCAGAAGAGGTAAAAGGCATTTCTTAACTCCACCATTTTAAAATTTATTTTCATGAATGCAGTTCAGTTTGTGGTCCTGTGAAGTGTATGGCTATTTTGGGTTCATGATTCCATTCACACTCCTACTGATAACAGTATCGTAAGAGAACTGCTGATACTCAGTAGTACTAGCCTTGACAGAGAGCCCTGGGAAAGTCTGGGTGAAGAGGCTGTCAGATATTACTAAAAAGTGAGGACATACACATTACTATTTCATTTTTAGTAAATATATAATTTTGTTACCTTGTCATCAATTTTTATCCAAAAGACAAAAAAAACTGAAGAAATCCTAAAATATCCAGAAACTTTCCACATATGAAGAATCACCAATAGGTCAATGAATAGTTAGACCTACTTAACTATACCTTGCCATGTGAATACAATCTGTTGATATCTGTAGCTTTGAAAAATTTAACTAAAGTTGTGTACATCGGCTCACACCTGTAATCCCAGCACTTGAGGAGGCCAAGGCGGAAGGATCGCTTGCGCCCAGGAGGTCAAGGATACAGTAAACCATGATGGCACCTCTGCACTTCAGCCTGGGCAACAAAGCAAGACCCAGCCTCGAAAAATAAATATATATATAAATAAATAAATATATAAAATAAAAATTTAACTACATTACCTTAACATATTCAAATAAAACAATACTCCCACCTAGTGGATAAAAGGAAAATGTCTGGCTTATTTCGGTGGTGAATACCACCACCATAAAGAAAGAATTAACACTACAATTACTTTTTTACAATTTTATTCCATTTCATCATTCTCAAAATATATCCCCCAAAAGTAATCTACAAAAGAGTGTCTGCTGCTCCCCTTAAAGGAATGGACATGTAATCTACATTACAAAACAATGTTTAAGATCATGTATAAATGTTACTCTGAATCTCATTTGTTGTCATCAATTTCTTTAGTAACTCAGTGCTCTGAGGAATATTCTGGAAGGAGAGAAAAAAGTGAATACAGTGAGACCAGAAATTCAGGCAGAGGCAACACACTCCCCCTGCCGCCCCCCCGCCAATCTCCACACTCTCCAGACTTAAAGAAGATAGCAGCCATGGGACAGGTGTGGCCTTTACTCTCCCCTTCTAAACAAAAAGGCCAGTGGGGAAGTCAGTTCAGCAGTCCCTTCCCCTGCCACAGTCACCAATGATCTGGCCCCCAGTGGTCTCCTGGCCTCCAGAGGAAGTCTACACTCTGACCCGGCCAACCTTCCCCACAAGATGTCCTCCTCCCCTCTCCATCCCCAATACCACATTCCTCACGGCTCTCCTCACACTTCCCCACTCTGCTCATACCGCTTCCCTATACACACTTCTACCCGCTAAGATTCACCCATCTTTCAAATCTAACTAAACTGTCACACCGGAAGAACTCAAAATAGTTTCACCTTATTGAAAATATCATTTTTAAATGGTCAGAAACAATGAACTGACTCAGTCTGATGCTTTTGGTCATTAAGAAAACAGCCCCTGCAGAACCATCATCTTACCCTCCTGCTAATCACTGTCTCCAAAGCAAAAATGAAAATGCTGAAAGAGTTACTTAAATTTCCCCTTGAAAGTATGTTCATAAAAGCTGAGCTTCCTTAAGCCCTATAGGACAGATGATTTCCAAGTCTCAGAACAAGTCCAAATGTTTGTGATGCACCTGTGTGCTAAGCACAGTCCCACAGCAGTAAACACAATGGCCCAGCCCCTGCCCATGGGAACTCATCTCTAAGTTAAGTGGAATGAGCCAACTGGCTAACTAAGCAAAGGGGACAATCAACGTATACTCTGAAAGAGATGCTAGACATAAAATAACTCCATGTGTCAGAAAGATTGTCCCTGATTCTAGCTAATTTGAAAGACAAGCTTGTAGTATACTAAATAGAGAGTTTTACAGCTGTACTCTTCAACAAATGGTTATTGGTGGCTTTATTCAACATGCCAGGTAAGTGGTAAACTTGGGATACCAAAATTTTAAAACGTGATTTGTTACCACAAGGAGCTGACAATCTAGTAAGAAAATAATTTATGAGACCTGGGAAATGAGCTACTTCCAACAAGTTACCACAAAAGTCTGAACACTAATGGCCATCCCAGAATAAAACCAGGCTGAGAGACAATGTTGTTACAACTTCTCTCCTTTAAAGAAACCGTCCTTAAACTAGGGGCTATGGACTTCCAAAAAAATCTCTTAAAGCAATGAAATCCCTAAACTATCCGAGAACAGGCAAACATTTTTATGTACACATTCCAATTTTCTTAGAAAATGGGCCCAGAGATATAAACTAATGGTTTAAAAAAAAAAAAAGAGAGAGAGAGAGGTTTATTATGTAATCCTCTCATCTTCACATATCCAGTTCTCTGTAAAATTAGGTAAATATTATAATAATTTGATCCATACTATACTTAAAAATAACCTTCTGAAAATTAAATAAAATTGTTTTAAAAAAACTTCCAAATTAGTTCTAGAAACTTCTTGAATAGTAAAACCATCTGTCCACATAGACATTTAGGATTTAATTGTACCACATTAAACTATCATACAAGAACACAGCATTCATCAAGTTACAGACCTATACAGAAGAGACGATGACAATCCAATTCAAACTGCCAGACTAGGAAGCTTCACTTTAAGAAGAAGGGGTCTCCATGCATTGCTTGGAGTTTAAGAAGACACCGTACATTTATGTTTGTTACTAAGCTCATTGTAACAACGCAGCTATTAATTTAAATGAGTTAAAATCTTACCTTAACCAAACCTTTCAAGCTTCTGGTAGAAAGTATAGGCTTAAAAGCTTCCACTGTAATTAGATCTAATTTCATCACATCAGTATAACACAAGTACAGAATTGCTGGTATTTTCCATACTTGACAGTAACTAAGAACTATCAATAGACAAGAAAAAAAAACACATAAGTTTTCTATTATATTATTTTTAAATTAAACACCTTTAAATAATAAAGGCCGTTTTTAAAAGTAGTTATTTCAGCTGCCTCTTTCAATCAAGGTATTCACTGCAATTTTGAAGCAATGATAATGTAGATTTTCTTTCAAAAAGTCAAACTTATTTTCCTAATAATTTCTTCTTTTGCAAATATTAAATTTATATTTCCTGTGAATACAGCTGAAATGATTTTAAGTAGCTGAAAGATTACAATTCTACTAAAATAAAGTATATGTAAATAACAAATATACAATGCCTAAGGTAAAATATTTAGCCACTTCTTTTTCTAGTAAACATTGAAAGCAAAATAAAACCCAACCAAACCCTTTTTATTTTAATACAATTCATATAATAAATAACAATTATGTAATATATTATCCACTGAAAAGTAAATGGTAGTCTGTCATATGATGGCAGATGTGACAGTAATAAAATAAAGCAACTAACAAGATTCAATATTCAAAACTTCTATCTTGATAATTAAAACATACTTCATCAACTTTTCATGCACCAATAATTTATATTTAATTCGGGCTTGCATTCTGAATAATCAAAGGCCAAAAAGAAACAGCAATTCTGAAGCCTAACAGTTAAGAAACCTGAGCTCCTCAAATAAGTCGGTCTGGAAAATTTGAAAACTCAAGCCAGATATGCTGACTGCACTTGTAACTACAGACACTGAGGATTAACGGTAATACACTGTATCAATCATTGTTAATAAACTACCTCAAAAAGATCTCTAATAGTGAAAGCAGTATCAATAAAGCAAAAACAAAATATAATATAAATATTACAAATTTTAATACCACCTGCTGCAGGAAGGTCGTGTACTATATTCGGTTGTTCCAGCAATGGACAACACACAGGGTCTTTGAAATTCTGTGTTTTTAGGGCTTTCAGGAAAGGAGAAGGCAGGCTGCCAGTGGATTCTGAGGTTTTATAATCGGTAACATGTCGACATGTGAGGATAGTTATCTGCATGTTCTTCCTTGGACATGAGCCAAAAACCTAACATAAAATTGATTTCAAATTAAAAAAACATATAATTTTGTTACAGAATGGAAACATTCCTCTAGGTATTCACCTAATACCACAGACAATAAAAGCATGCCTAGCGGGGGTGGGAATGTACGTTGGAGAAACAGAACACACCTGCTGTCTCAACCTAGGTTTGATCTTGGTTCTGCTTACTAGGTGGGCAACTTTTCCAAGTCACTTTCCTCACTGGTGAACTAAGGTGACATAGTTTGGATGTTTGTCTCCTCCAAATCTCATGTTAAAATGTGATTCCCAATGTTGGAAGCAGAGCCTTGTGAGAAGTGACTGGATATGGAGGCGGATCCCTCATGAATAGCCTAGCACCATCCTGTTGGTGATACATGACTTCTCATTTCTCATTTCATGCTACAGCTGGCTGTTCAAAAGTGGCTGGTTTCTCCTTCCTCTCTTGCGCCCATTTTCACCATGTGATGTGCCTGTTCCCCCTTCACCTTCCGCCATGATTGGAGGCTTCCTGAGGACTCAGCAGAAGCCAAGCGGATGCCAGCACCATGCTTCCTGTATAGCCTGCAGAACTGTGAACCATTTAAACCTCTTTTATTTTTTTTTCGAGACGGTTTCTTGCTCTGTCGCCAGACTGAAGCACAGCACCACTATCTCAGTTCACTGCAATTCACTGCAACCTCCATCTCCCAGATTCAAGTGATTCTCCTGCCTCCACCTCCCGAGTAGCTGGAACCACAGGCACACGCCACCATAGCCAGCCAATTTTTTATATTTTAGTAGAGACGGGGTTTCACCATGTTGACCAGGATGGTCTTGATCTCTTGATCTCTTGATCTACCAACCTCAGCCTCCCAAAGTGCTGGAATTACAGGCATGAGCCACCACACCCGGCCTAAACCTCTTTTCTTTATAAATTACCCAGCCTCAGGTATTCCTTTATAGCAACACAAGAACAGACGAACCCATAAGCCCAGAACTACCTACTTAACGGGCCTGCAATGTGGAGTAAATAAAGTCACAGGATGCCAGAGTAGTGACTACAGGCCTGCTGTCCAGAGGAAAAAAGTCACAAGTACACAACTGGCATTCCTTCCCTCACCCACCTACCACTGACTCCTTTTCTATAACTAGAAATAATATGGATTTTATAGACTTCCAAGAATTCTTTTGCCTTTTAATAAGATCTAAGTGATGTAAACAAAGAAAGATGGGCGGGAGGAATTCAACTGTGTTTTATACTCCTCAATGCTGAGGATGGTAGGTCACAGAAGTATAAAACACGGTTGGTTGGTCATGTTAAAGAAGCAAGTTCTTTTATTCTTTATATTCAAAAACAAATTCCTGTAATAGTCTTAAGAAATAAATTCCTTTCCCATATCAATATCTGACTGCATAAGTTTAAGTGAAAAGACACTGAACCCTTAAAAAAATGAAAACTCCTACAGACTAACCATTCACAGGTTTTCATTTCTCTCTTACCTTTTCCAGCCACTGATACTGTTGATCTTCTGCAACGTAGCAACTGCACTGACAGAGGAAAACCTGAAAAGTCAAGTTCCACGTTTTTTGTCAAGTAAGTTTTATATACACCCCAAACTATCACCATATATGTAACATGTGAATAACAACACACAAGTAATACTTATTTTCCTGGCTCTACTATCGACCTACTTATTTCTCTTGAAAATGTAAGAGTCAAACCACTACTAGGGATTAGTGTCAGAAAAAGTACACACTGACAGAGCAACTGAAAGACTTGGCATACTAAAGTATACTACCAGTAAATACCATGTAAGTGATACTTAAATAGCTACTTTTCAAACATACAAGTCCCATAGCTACTTTTAAAACATACAAGTCCCACTTACCGAGGGATTGGATTTTAGATGATAAAACACACAAAAAGCCTCTGTGGAGGACAGATGTATAGTGTCTGTTGTTCTACACCATTCATTCCAGAGTTTAGCACAACCAACTTCTTCCCAGACTCCTGAATTCATAACAAATGATGATAGAAATGCTGTAAAAAAACAATTCACATAAGTTAGAGTTTGACTCTGCAAGCAGTATTTTCTTTTTTTTTAATCATACTTTAATTTCTGGGGTACATGTGCAGATCTTGCAGCATTATTACATAGATATACACATGCCATGGTGGTTTGCTGCCTCCATCCCCCTATCAACTACATTATTTCTCCCAATGTTATCCCTCCCAATCTCCCCAACCCCCACTATTCCTCCCCAACCCCCACCCCGCCAACAGACCCCAGTGTGTGATGTTCCCCTCCCTGTGTCCACGTGTTCTTATTGTTCAACACCTGCCTATGAGTGAGAACATATGGTGTCTGGTTTTCTGTTCTTGTGTCAGTTTGATGAGAATGATGGTTTCCAGATTCACTCATGTCCCTGCAAAGTATACGAACTCATCCTTTTTTATGGCTGCATAGTATTCCATGGTGTACCTGTGCCACATTTTCTTTATCCAGTCTATGATTGATAGGCATTTGGGTTGGTTCCAGGTCTTTGCTATTGTAAACTGTGCTGCAATGAACATATATGTGCATGTCTTTATAACAGAACGATTTATAATTCTTTGAGTATATACCCAGTAATGGGATTGCTCAAATGGCACTTCTATTTCTAGATCCTTGAGGAATTGCCACACTGTCTTCACAATGGTTGAACTAATTTATACTCCCACCAACAGTGTAAATGCGTTCCTATTTCTCCACATCCTATCCAGCATCCGTTGTCTCCAGATTTTTTAAAGATCATCATTCTAACTGGCGTGAGATGGTATCTCAATGTGGTTTTGATTTGCATTTCTCTAATGGCCAGTGACGATGAGCATTTTTTCATGTTTGTTAACCACACAGATGTCTTCTTTTGAAAAGTGTCTGTTCATATCCTTCACCCACTTTTTGATGGGGCCGCTTTCTTCTTATAAATTTGTTTTAGTTCTTTGTAGATTCTGGATATTAACCCTTTGTCAAATGGGTGATTTCAAAAATTTTTTCCCATTCTGTTGGTTGCTGCTTCACTCTAATGATTGTTTCTTTTGCTGTGCAGAAGCTCTGGAGTTTAATTAGATCCCATTTGTCTATTTTGGCTTTTGTTGTCATTGCTGTTAGTGTTTCAGTCATGAAGTCCTTGCCTATGCCTATGTCCTAAATGGTATTGCCTAGGTTTCCTTCCAAGGTTTTTATGGCGTTAGGTCTTATGTTTAAATCTTTAATCCATCTGGAGTTAATTTTTGTATAAGGTGTAAGGAAGGGGTCCAGTTTCAGCTTTCTGCACATGGCTGGCCAGTTTTCCCAACACCATTTATTCAACAGAGAACCCTTTCTGTATTGCTTTTGTCAGATTTGTCAAAGATCAGATGGTTGTAGATGTATATATGGCATTACTTCAGAGGCCCCTGTTCTGTTCCACTGGTCTATATCTGGTTTGTTACCAGTACCATGCTGTTTTGATTACTGTACCCTTGTAGTATAGTTTGAACTCAGGTAGCATGATGCCTCCAGCTTTGTTCTTTTTGCTTAGGATTGTCTTGGCTATGCAGGCTCTTTTTTGATTCCATATGAAGTTTAAGATGGTTTTTTCCAGTTCTGTGAAGGTGGTCAATGGTAGCCTGATGAGGATAGCATTGAATCTATTAATTAGACAGTATGGCCATTTTCACAATATTGATTCTTCCTAAGCATGAGCATGGAATGTTTTTCCATCTGCTTGTGTCCTCTTACTTCCTTGAGCAGTGGTTTGTAGTTCTCCTTGAAGAGGTCCTTCACATCCTTTATTAAGTGTATTCCTAGGTATTTTATTCTCTTTGTAGCAATTGTGAATGGGAGTTTGCTCACGATTTGGCTCTGTTTGTCTGTTATTGGTGTATAGGAATGCTTGTGATTTTTGCACAATGATTTTGTATCCTGAGACTTTGGTGAAGTTGCTTAACATCGTAAGGAGATTTTGGGCTGAGATGATGAGGTCTTCTAAATATACAATCACGTCATCTGCAAATACAGATAATCTGACTTCCTCTTTTCCTAATTGAATACCCTTTATTTCTTTTTCTTGCCTGATTGATCTGGCTAAAACTTCTAATACTATGTTGAATAGGAATGGTGAGAGAGGGCACCCTTGTCTAGTGCCAGTTTTCAAAGGGAATGCTTCCAGTTTTTGCCCATTCAGTATAATACTGTCAGTTTCTCATAAACAGTTTTTATTATTTTGATACATGTTCCATCAATACCTAATTTATTGAGAGTTTTTAGCACAAACGGCTGTTGAATTTTGTCTAAGGCCTTCTCTGCATCTATGGAGATAATCATGTGGTTTTTGTCTTTGGTTCTATGTGATGGATTATGTTTATAGATTTGCATAAGTTGAACCGCACTTGCATCCCAGGGATGAAGCCTACTTGATCGTGATAGATAAGCTTTTTGATGTGCTGTTGCATTCAGTTTGCCAGTATTTTATTGAAGATTTTTGCATCAATGTTCATCATGCACACTGGTCTATAATTTTCTTTTTTAATTGTGTCTCTGCCTGGTCTTGGTATCAGGATGATGTTAGTCTCATAAAATGAGTTAGGGAGGATTCCCTCTTTCTGTATTGTTTGGAATAGTTTCAGAAGGAATGGTACCAGCTCCTCTTTGTACATCTGGAAGAATTCGGCTGTGAACCTGTCTGAACCTGGACTTTTTTTGGTTGGTAGGCTATTAAGTGCTACCTCAACTTCAGACCTTGTTATTGGTCTATTCAGGGATTCAACTTCTTCCTGGTTAAGTCTTGAAGGGTGTAAGTATCCAGCAATTTATCCATTTCTTCTAGATTTACTGGTTTATGTGCATAGAGGTGTTTGTAGTAATCTCTGATGGTAGGTTGTATTTCTATGGAATCAGTGGTGATATCCTGTTTATCATTTTTTATTGCATCTATTCAATTTTTCTCTTTTCTTTTTCATTAGTCTAGCAGTCTATTTTGTTGATCTTTTCAAAAAAACCAGCTTCTGAATTTATTGATTTTTTTTTTAAGGGTTTGTCTCTCTCTCTCTTTCAGTTCTGCTCTGATCTTAGTTATTTCTTGTCTTCTGCTAGCTTTTGAATTTGTTTGATCTTACGCCTCTAGTTTTTTTAAATTACAATGATAGGGTATCAATTGTAGATCTTTCCTCACTTCTCATGTGGGCATTTAATGCTACAAATTTTCCTCTGGACACTGCTTTAAATGTGTCCAGAGATTCTGGTATACTGTGTCTTTATTCTCATTGGTTTCAAAGAACATCTTTATTTCTGCCTTTATTTCATTATTTACCCAGTAGTCACTCAGGAGAAGGTTGTTCAGTTCCCATGTAGCTATGCAGTTTTGAGTGAGTTTCTTAATCCTGAGAATCTATTTTGATTGCACTGTGCTCTGAGAGACTGGTTGTTATGATTTCCGTTCTTTTGCATTTGCTGAGCAGTGATTTACTTAATATTATGCTGTCAATTTTAGAGTAAGCGTGATGTGGTGCTGAGAAGAATGTATATTCTGTGGATTTGGGGTGGAGAGTTCTGTAGATGTCTATTAGGTCCACTTGGTACAGATCTGCATTCAAGTCCTGGATATTCTTGTTGATTTTTCTGTCTCATTGATCTAACATTGACAGTGGAGTGTTATAGTCGCCCACCATTATTGCGTGGGAGTCTAAGTCTCTTTGTAGGTCATTAAGAATTTGCTTTATGTATCTGGATGCTCCTGAATTGGGTGCACACAGGTTTAGGATAGTTAGCGCTTCTTGTTTATGTAATGCCCTTCTTTGACTCTTTTGATCTTTGTTGCTTTAAAGTCTGTTTTATCAGAGACTAGGATTGCAACCCCTGCTTTTATTTTTTTTTTTGCTCTCCATTTGCTTGGTACATCCTCCATCCCTTTATTTTGAATCTATGTGTGTCTTTGCACATGAGATGGGTCTCCTGAATACAGCACAGTAATAGGTTTTGACTTTTTATCCAATTTGCCAGTCTATGTCTTTTGATTGGGGCACTTGGCTGGTTTACATTTAAGGTTAATATTATGTGCAAATTTGATCCTACCATTTTGATAGTAGCTGATTGTTTTGCCTGTTAGTTGATGCAGTTTCTTCATTGTGTTGACGGTCTTTACCATTTGGTACGGTTTTGCAGTGGCTGGTACTGGTTGTTCCTTTCCATATTTAGTACTTCCTTCCGGGGCTCTTGTAAGGCAGGCCTGGTGATGACAAAATCTCTCAGCAATTGCTTTTCTGTAAAGGATTTTATTTCTCCTTCCACTTATGAAGCTTAGTTTGGCTGGATATGATATTCTAGGCTGAAAGTTACCTTCTTTAAGGATGTTGAATATTGTCCCCCACTCTCTTCTGGCTTGTAGGGTTTCTGCTGAGAGATCCACTGAGAATCTGATGGGCTTCCCTTTGTGGATGACCTTACCTTTCTCTCTGGCTGCCCTCAGCATTTTTTCCTTCATTTCAACCCTGGTGAATCTAATGATTATGTGCCTTGGGGTTTCTCTTCTCAAAGAGTATCTTTGTGGTGTTCTCTGTATTTCCTGGATTTGAATGTTGGCCTGCCTTGCTAGGTTGGCTCTGTCACTCAAGCTGGCCCACTATCAGTGGGAGGATCACAGCTCACTGCAGCCTCGAAATCCTGGGCTCAAGCAAACCTCCCATCTCAGACTCCTGAGCAGCCAGGGCTACAGGCAAGCACCACCATGCCTAGCTACATTTTTTAATTTTTTGTAGAGATAGAGTCTCACTATTTTGCCTAGGCTGGTCTCAAACTCCTGTCCTCAAGCGATCCTCATGCCTTGGCCTCCCAAACAGCTGGGATTACATATGTGAGCCACTGTGACTGGCCTAAATCTGATATTTCTCAGTTCACTAAAAAGATGGTGCAGGCCAGGTGCTGTGGCTCACACCTGTAATCCCAGCTCTTTGGGAGGCTGAAGCAGGAAGATCACTTGAGGACACAAGTGCAAGACCAGCCCGGGCAACACAGCAAGAACCCATCTCTACCAAAGAAAAAAAAAGATAATGCAACATGAGCAGAACAGAGATTTTACTCAGAAACACAATCGCTCTACTGTGGATTTTTTAATCGCTCTACTGTGGATTTTTTTAAAGTACCAGACATCTTAAATCTTTTATGATGGAAGGAAATATGTAACTTTATATTTAAATATTTCAACAAAATGACTAGTCTGCATTTCACTTACCTACTGCATTATTTCCTATGGCGATTATAAACTTGGAGCACGGATATTTTTCTAGCAAAGAAACTTCCAAAGATGTTTTTGTTTGTCTTCGCAGGAGCCGCACCTCCCTAACACAAGAAACAGGATGAAACTAAAGCAATTTCAAAATAAACAGTACCATATTACTAAGACAAAAGGGCACTATATGTACAACTTGCAATAAATAAAATACACGTTTGTTTTATAAAGAATTAATATCCTCAGGAAACAATGGACTCGGTAATGATAACCAACAGATAAAACTATTGCATACAAGTTTTCGGAGAACTCTAAAATAGTGATCAGGCTGTCCACCTGACCCAAGGATCAATCTTAGCATCCCTAAAAGTGAGACAACTGGTCAGAGCCTGCAACAAGAAACAGCACCACTTAGTTGAAGCACTCTTGCCAACAAAAACATTGAATTTGACCAAGCCTCCAAACGAACATTCATTTACAGGACATGCAGGTGATACACACGTTAAGTGACATCACAAGGAAGCGATCAGACGAATTCAGAGTGTGGGGCACTGGACAGGACAATCAGTCCTGTACCTTAGAAGAGGTAAAAGAGGAGGCCGCTCTAAATCAAGTGCGATGTCTAACGGTAACCTGTGGACCTTGTTAGGATTCTGATTCACACAAAGCACTGCAAAATGTCCTGTTTGAGAAAACTAGGTAAACGTGAGTGATCATGGACTGACTCTGAAATGATACCGACAAATTATTACTAGTGTTGTTAGGGGTGATAATAGCATGTGTAAGAAAATCGCTAAAACGTTTGAGATGTATTCTGAAAAATGTAGAGGTAAAAGGCCATGATGACTGGAATACGCTTAAGGGTGGTGGGAGAGGAAATAAACATGGCAAAATCTTCCTGTTACCTTTACCTGGTTGTTTAGGCGTCAGGGCTCGCTTGACTATTTTCTCTTACTTTTGTGTGTTTGGAAACAATTCTTTTAAAGAGTGTTCATCTCCTACTGACACATTATGCTAACTGAAGTGTGGGACGCAGGTCTTAAAAGTTTCGAGAGAATCGGTGTCCGTGAACAAACCAAGAAAAACGCGGTGGGGCCGACGGGAGCGCTGCGGCCCAAGACAATGTGACAGGCTGGAAGAGCACGACTCCATAAGACACCAGGCCTCCAGAAATACTCCAGGAAGCCTTTAAAGAATGGATCTGAACCCAGCCCTCCCACAGCGGCTTCACCCTGGACTTGACGAAACGCCAGCGGATCCATGAGAGCACAGCACACACCTGGGGCTGGCGCCGCCGGATGCCGCCTTCACGGAGACCCAGGGCCCGGGCAGAACCACGGAGCGGCGGCAACCGCGGGGGCCAGTTGGGCCTCAGGGGAAGACCGCGGAGCCCCGGCCTCAGGCGCCGTAGCGGCTTCGGGGCCCACGCACCTTCCAGCGGCGGGGAGGGCGCCGCCCTTTTCCGGGTAACTCACCTCTTCCGCGCCAGCTGCTGCCGCACGTCCCTGTCCTCTGGCGTCTCCCTCCGCCCCTCGTCCTCCTCCTCCTCGTCCTCTGTCCCAGCTCGGCACGGTGCCTTCACCACCTCTCCAAAGAACGTCGCCGCCATGGCCGCCCCAGGACCGGCTGGACACAACTCCGGCGCCCCGGAACTGCGCATGCCAGCTTGCGCCAGACCACGCCCCCTCACCACGCGGCGACATATCCCACCCAGCGGAGGCCACGCCCTCCGCGCGGAGCCCGAGCTTGCGGCCACACCCCCACTGCGCGGGCAATACGCCCCGCCCCGCGTAGGCCACGCCTCCAGGCGCAGCCGAGCTCGCTGCCACGCCCTCTGCACTGCCCGCCCGCGCTGCCAAGCCCTGGGCGTCCCAGCAGGTTTTTGTTTTTCTTGTTTGAATTACAGACGGTGGTCTCGCTGTGTTGTCCAGTCTGGTCTCGAACTCCTGGGCTCAAGTGATCCTCCTGCTTAGGCCTCCTGAAGTGCTTGGATTACAGGCGTGAGCCACCGCGCCCGGCCCCCGGCGGATTTCCATTAGCAGCTTGAGCCCCGCGGACGCCGAGAAATAGGAGGACTGCGGACTAGAGGGGCCCTAGGGGTGGGGGGGGGATGGGGGGGGACGGAGGGCGGGTCCTCCGCGGAGGTAGCGGAACCGGGGGTACAGGGGCAGTGCCAGCGCCACTGGCCGTAGCGTTAGGGAATTGTGCCCTCGCAGGTCCTTCCCTCCTTGTCCGTTTCCCTTTTCCTGCTGCGTTAGGAGAGACTGGGGGAGCCTTGGTGTACCGAGCACCCGCTCCAAACTTCGACTGCCCAGGTAGGTGGCGGCGCGGTGGCACTGAGGACCCCTGGAGCCAGGCGCGCTGCCAGGAAGCGGGCACGGGCGGACGGAAGGGCAAGAAATACAGCGCTTCGTGGTGGTATAAAAATGAGACTTTTACTCTGGCAATAGGAATTCACATTTCAAAAGCTGATGGTTGTCAAGCCGGTTTAAAAAACATTTTTATGAGAATGTAAAAAATAGTGTATTTTTTAAACTTGGCCATTTTCTAATACAAAATGTTTCTTTTTAAATAGCCATTGATAAGCAAAATGTGTTTAATTGGTTCTCTTTCAAATGTGCTGGTAGACAAAGTTCGAGGAGCACTGTTCCAAGCCAGAGAAAATGGGGACGTCATAATTTTAAATGAAAATATGCAGTGATACAATGAAAAATAACCGTTTCCTATTTAGTTCTACTGAACTACATGGCATCGCCTGCATTTTGTGACTTTGTCAGTAGTCACAAAGTAAGTACTACTTTGGGGTCAGATAAAATCTCAAAGCTGCTAGAAACATTTTAAGATGTAGAAAAATAATGATCAACAAAATCATTTACATAAAATTATTTAGCAGATTTACACATCTGCAGAAAATAATGTGTTCAGTTTTGAAGCAAAATCTGAACATTTAGCAATAAAATTAAGACCAAATTGCTAGCCAGTAAGAGCTTAGGAAACTGGGTATCCTTAGTGAGATAGAATAAAGATTACCAAAATGAGGTTTTAAAACATTAGGACTCTTGGGTTAACTGGTCTATTATAATGATGGAACTGCAGAATAAAAGGTTTGGGCACTACATTGTCTTAGTCCTTTTGTTAATTTGTCATTTTTACCAGTAAGATCTTCAATTTGATTTCACAATTTCATTAATATTTTCTGCAAAGCAAATTAATGTAAATAGGGTTGTGGTAATACATGTGGCCATGATTTAAATTCTGCACACATTTCAGAGAGAACAATTTTACAATACTAAGTTTTAAGCAAATGCTTATTTCATGCAGTTACAATAAATTTAGGCCAAGCACTTTTTAAAAAGGCAATTATGTTTGAATTACTTAGCCAAAAAAGGATTCCATTATGCAAGACTGATAATACAATCTCAAATATTGACAGAAATTAACCCCACCACAGCAAATTATAAATTCAAAGATTAAATTATTTCATTACACCGAAATTGCCAAAAAAAAAACTTTGCATAAAATAGTCTTCAGTTAAGTACTTCCTTTTATAGTTACTTGTTAAAGACATAATCTACTCAAAAAAAATTATAAATTAAGTGTAAGTTTTGAACTGGAAAGATGTTTAAGCATTTCATTAGAGCTCAAAAATCAAACCCCATGCACCTAAAAGTAATAGCAGTTTATTAGGAATTATCTTCCCTTTCTCACCTGTGCATCAACATAATAGGGATAGTTTAGATAAAAGTATACAACAAAAGGAGCAAAGAACAGAGACTTAGTAGGTTAGAATAGTCTGGCTTATGCTAAAAAACAAAAAGCCTTTTTTTAAAAAAACAGACATGCAACCACAAATTTCTGAAGTATTTTAGACACTTGATACATCTGTATAACCAAAAAAAAAAAAAAAATGCATTTGTCTTAAAAAATAGAAACCTCTAGGTTTCTGTAGTTTACTTTTTCAAATTTACACATGCAAATCATATATTAATATTCAGGTATTTTTAAATGAGAAACAGCTTACTTTCAACAACTTAATTTTTCCAGTAACACGTTACTGTGTTAAAAAGATGTGACGGTACATTTATTTAATCTGGCAATTTTAATTTCAACCAATTCATATAAACAACAAATTAAATCCTATTGCAAATACATTCTTTGTTGTACCACGACCAGATTTTCTAATCCTAGCGGAGGCCACAATTAAATAGGCCAAGCATGCAACCATTAAAGTTTGTTGGGATGAGACTGTAATAAATTTATTCAAAGTATTCAAGTTCTAATTTTTAAGGTGCTGTAGAGAAACATAAAAGATTCACTGTATCATCTAAAAATATGACTGTTTTGATCTTGAGCTATACCTTTTATTTTTTTAACTGATTAAAACTTAAGACCTGCCTCTTAATGAGGCACATTTTTGGCATTTCTGTAAATGCTGCTACATAAAAGGAAAAATAAGGAATAGCTGTGGTAGTAACATTCATAGCTTTCATAGAAAAATATATACTCCCTGAATTAGTCATATCAAGTGGTCATTCAGTACAATCTCCAATATTATAAACAAAATGACATGAACGGACTTTATCTAATTGCCTATTTCCAACACTCTACTTCAGAACTCAGTAATCAGCATCTCAAGCTATTTTTTTTCTCACATCCTCCTAGTTTGTTTTTGACCTTTGGGGATGTGAACTGTAGGGAGTGAATCTGGGTAGAGTTTTTGCTTCACTCAAAAGTCAAATAGGCCCATTAGCACTTCCTTTGGAAAAGTGCCTAATATTTTTTCCTCATGACACCATAATTGTCATGGTCTGAATCTTTACTCTGTACTGGAGAACCCTTAAAATTAGCATCAGGTTGAGATTTTGAAATTTGTTCACTCCAAGGTGTTCCTAGCCTGTACACTTCCCATAATATTTTTCCTCTATGGAATCAAGTCTTCAAGGCCTTGCTTTCTGGAAAGAAGAATAGTAGTCTTATAGCAGGCCACTTGTCTTTTCTTTCAACCTCTCCACCTACAGACTCTGCAATCTATTTCCTCTTCAGAATTCCCTAGAGCACATGTTTGTTCAAGAGCTGACTGGGAGGAACCCACTGGATTATGGCCTTTAGAAAATTCCTCCGAAGATGCCAATCAGGGATTAATTTTAGAGCTGGGGGCAGAATGTAACTGCCAGTTTACTTGTGGCCCAGTTGTTTTCAGATACCACTTCTACATTCTCATAGTCACTATTGTGCATTTTCTTTCCAGGATCTGAACCCCCTTAAAAAAAGCACTTTGCTATTAGTATCTTCTAGCTCTTTTTCACTTTCAGAATTTATGGTTGTATCATCCTCTTTATAAACATTCAGTAATTTTTTCTTAGCCGCAGCAGAAGCATTTCGATGGGGCAGTTTTCTGCTACTCTTCCTAATCCAGACATTTTCTGGTCCTGAGATCGTTTCTTTTAGATTACTCATTATCTTTATTTTATTTGCAGCAACAGTAGCACATCTGCGGGGAACTTTCTCAGGTACCATTTTTGCTTTCAGAGTTTCACTAGGCATCTGCACTGCATCCTTCTCATTATGCATACATGTTCTCACTTTTGTATTGGGTTCTCTGTCTCTAGGAACAAATTCTGAAAAATGAGTGAAAGTTCATGTAAATGCAAAAATCTTGTAACAAGATTTTACTACTGCTAACATTCCTCAACAACACTCATTTGGAAACAAATTTTAAAAGTCATACTGCTAAACGATAAATTTTTAAATGTGATACTAAGGGCTTTTGACATTGATATCACCTTACATTTGCTTATCTACAACTATAAGGATGTCACTTAAAACAGTAGCAGACTTTAGGAATGGGGTTAAAGTTCCTTCAGCATCGGCATCATAAAGCTGCTAATCTAAAAACATATGTATGAGCATTTTACATAATTTCAATTATTAAAGCTTAATTTCATTGTTCCAGTATTTTCTGACCTAGGTATGTGACACATACAAGGTATGTGACACATACATGAGATTCAGATTGAAATTCAAAAAAATAACGTGGGGTTGCTTTAAGGAACTAAAAAGTGCAGAGTGCTATGAGAACACAGACTAGAAACCTAACCTAACCTAAGGGATCAAGGAAGGATTCCTTCAAGGAAGCATTTAGAAGAGAGCTGAAAATTTTGAAAGGATTTGCCAGACAAAAAGCACTTTGCAGAGTTAAGTCCTTCATGTAGACTAAGGCAGTTTTTAGAGGGTGCTTGAAATGACTCGAGCTGTGCAGAGCCACATGATGCCAGACCTACTACTCCATGCCGATCAAACTTAGGAGGGCTCAGGTATTTTTATTGTTACCAGTGTCTCAGAGCCAAATTTTCAGATTTCACAAACAAGTCTAATTAGTACTCTTGTAGAAGAGAAGTGGCATTTCTTTCACCATATGTATCTGAAGTTCACTGGCCCTTGAATTTTAGGTCTTTCTTGCAGCCATTAACAGTCAAACTATCTAAAATTGCCTTCGTGGTACACATCAGTCCTGATGGCAGTTTGTTTTGTAGGACCCTGCCTGAAGTTTCCAGATACTTAGCATTTGAAAAAGTCAGGCTGTAGATCACTGAAATAACCACAATTGATATCCTACACCTACACTAGACTTCTGGAGGACTCCACCACATTCTTTTTACTACTAAGTACTAGAAAATGAGGGCTTTTAGTCAGATACTATCAAGTAACATGATTATTCTGTAGCAAAGAAACTACTACTGCCAACCTTCTGAATTTTTTCTTCTATGAAGATGTTTGCCCTTCTGTCACTAAGCTGACTAAAGGACAGATGAGTACAGTTAAAAACTGCTTCTGTGGACTGACATGTTCATACAGCCAGATTAATGAAGCAGGCCTCTGCCCTCACAATGGAAGCACTTTAGATTTTCCTGTAAGTCTATGAAACTGATTTTACACTTCTCTAAGTTCAGGTAAGTGTTCTCCCCAAAATAGGTTAGGAAATACTTTATTCAAAGCAACCGTACCACATACACATCAGTTCTTTTTGCCAACTAACTTATGTGACTCACATGCTTTCCAGTAAAATTCTATTTCTAAGGGTTCTATGTTTTTAGAGTTAAATCTCTAGGCATTGTAAATGGCATTTTGCTAGAGTAAGATGCTCATCACAGCATTACTCCCATGCAGCATGCCCTTACCTCCTTCAGTTGGGCTCTGTGGGAAGAGAAGTGGCTTAAAGTACAGTGTGTTTACCACTTCAGAGACATTTTTCTTGGAAATTTTTAAATTATGAACTATTATCTCCAACAAGTCAACCCTATATCCAAAATGAATCTTAACACATTAAATCAATGTTAGGCAAATGCTAAAATATAAATATGCTACAAAGGGTAAACAAAAAGTTTAAAACATGCAAAATTAAGGTGAAATTTGCAATTTATAGTAGGATGATGATATACTATTATCAGCTAGCTGCACCATTTGCATTTTGAAAAAAAAATTAAACTCGTTCACTCCCAACAACCTACTCATCAAGTGGAACAGCCTATTTCAACTACAAATTTATTTGTAACAAAATGCTTTAAGTTGCAGAAATGAATTCCATTTTGATGTGTGATTAAAGTACCTATACCTATACTGACAATTTCGGAACCCAGTAAACACTAACTCTAAGACATTTTAATAAATGTTTGTCATCCGGAATGATGGATAAGATTCTGCAGGAAAAAAAACAAAACTCAGGTTTTTAAAAAATATTTTTAAGGAAATTTGAACTTCAATAACTATGCCCAAAGGAGGGAGAATTTGTGAATTATATTGTACACAGCAACTCTAACTTGATAAACCTGTATCTCTTAAGTCTTAGACAATAAAACAGGAATTTCATAGACTAAGAATAAAAATCAGAGAGAGAAAACTGTGGACAGTTTTTTTTTAAATACATACTTTTAAGTATCACTGAAAACTTAGTAAATTGTAAAGTGCTTTATTCTCAAGAAAACTACAAACCATTTTAGAAATACACGTATTTTCAGGGGGAAGTCAAATTGGTGTGTTAGGGTACAAACTTAAGAACTCTGGATGCTGCTGCTCTAATAATACATTTGTGATGATGCCATGTAATACTAAGTCAGTAGAATTCCAACAGTCCTACTGTCTCAGATGGTCTTGTGTCAATCACGTGTTCAGAAAGTCAGTGAGTGCTTGAGGACTATTGTTTTCCTGGAAGTGATTCCCTATTTGGATATGGCAAGAACACAACATCAGTAGTATAAAAATGTACATCTGTAGTAGCACTCCATGATCATTTACCTGGATGACCGCTTTGAATTATAACTCACGGATATGTGTGTATTCTAAGATGACATCTGTGGTGAATGGAAACCTGGGTACAAACATTAACAGTTCTGACAACACAATCTTTAGTTTCTACATTTTAAGGATGTCATATTCCAATTAGACTTTTTTATAATTTTTAAGCTACCCTATTTACAGATTCTGCACAAGTATTACTTCAACATACAAAACTTTTCCTGAATTCAAAGTAAACTGCACACTACAGAAGCATTAAAAATTTTTAATCAACATTTTTTTAATTGGAGCATTTGAAACAGATTTCATGAGAAAATGTTTGACTCAAAATGAAAACATACTAGCCTCTTTCATGAACTCCTAGGATCTTGACATTATTGGTTGCTGTGGTTGGTGGATAATGAAATCCACATAATGGGTAAACCCTCTAGGTACAAGTTATAAGCTCCCTCAAGCAAGCCTTTTATCAGAAAAGGTTTGAGATGTTCTCTCTCCTGTCTGCCCTTCATTGATAAGTAATGAAATGACCCCAAAACTCAGAAAGCTAGTAACATTTATCAATGATCTTCATCATTCCCAAAGCAGAGTTTCCAAAAACATTCTATAAGCCAAAGTACCCCTTTAGGCAATGGCTACAGAATAAATGGTTGCTGTATAACTTGCTGTTCAACAGTTCCACTTTCTAGGGGGAGCTCATAACACTGCAGTATGGCAGCATCGGGTCAAGAGACTGTCAGAAATAATTCCATAAACTAGTTCACTAGCTTATTCATCTTTAGAGATCAATTTACTCAATGATGGGCACCATACAACCTAGAATTTTTTATTCTGGAACTACAACTAATCTAGCTCATGACAATACAGTTTTCTCTCACCCCTAGAAAAATTCTGCAAAAGATTTGTGATGGCTATTGCAATTTTTTATAAAAATCTCATAAAAGCCTTATTTTAAAATGTGAAGTTAGGGACCTTATACTTAACTGCTTAATTTGCTTTTTAGAAACGACATCTCAGAGCATTTCACACTAAATGTAGGCAGAATCAGAAGTAAATACTTGTTTTCAATCTACCCTATTACTGTACTACTAATGAAAAGACCCCGGGCCACAGACAATCCAGTGGTAAAACCCTTTTCAAGCAGGGCTACTGACTCGCTTCAGTTCCCCCATCCAAGCTCATCCATAAAATTCGCAGCCCTATGTTCTGCCTGCATGAAAAGAAATTACCAGTGGAAAGGAGGTTGGGGAACTACCTAGGACAAGTCTGGAATTAACCAAATAGAATTTGTTTTTTAACTCTTTTGCTTGTTAAGATGAAAATGCTAAACTTATTATATTGTTTTATTTAGGAATTGACAAAAACTCATCTAAATGAGTTTTTGATTAATTTAGAATATTAACAATCTTATGTGGAGTGGAAAACTGAAGATCTGCTTTCTTGACAGGCTCCTGTAATTTTATGATTGGAATTTTGTAGGTGAATATATAGTTGCACTCCAAGGACTGATTCTCACTTAGAAAATTAACTTGAATATATTAAAATTTAAAGATCTCTTTAATTTTTAACCACTCATCAAAAAAGGTAATTTTTTAAATGATTTACCTTGTAAAACAAAGGGGGAGAGCTGCTATAGTCCATCCAGGCCCTATATACTGGTCGTCTCATTTCAATTAGGTCAACTGGCCTGCCTTTTCTCTTTGGCAGTCTGAACTCATTTAAAGGCTTTAATAAATGAAAACACTTACCTTAAAACTGACATAACTAAAATGTGACCAGAAAATATACCAGAGCATTGATAATTAAATTCAAACTACTGGTCTTACCATACTTGAGAAATAGATGTATAGTCTAGTTATTTACATGCTGCCAAATATAGAGACTGCAGATTTGTAGGATCCAAATGATGTGACTCTCCCACTCCCTCCATCAGATCCAGAAAAGCAATCCTTGAGCAGACACCAATTTAAAATCTTGATAGTTTTCTACTAATTTAGCAATATATTATATTAGGAACCAGCTTGACAGATTATAAAAAAGGTAAACATCTCTTACTTTGGAGAATCTCCATGTATCCTTAGGCACCATCTCTATAATTTAGCAGCCTTTGAAACTTTTCTTAAAATCGTAAGGCAACAAAGCCCTTACCATTAAATAGTTTTTCAATCCTTACTATTCAGAATTTGAGCTCGGGATTAACATTTGCTAATCTAGGTGGACTCAATTTTTCCCACAATGCTCTATACTCTCACCTAGTTTTGACAAATTTATTCCTTCTCTTCCCAAATACTAGGATAAGAGACAGTCTCAAACTGTTAAATTGGAAAGTTCTTAGGGTTTCTGCTTTATTATTTCCTTGATATCCACAGCAGAAGTTCAGAGGTATAACTTCAACATTAACAGGTGAAAAGTTCTACAATGACTTGTGGCACTCCATCACATTAGAATAATTGAACTATAATTTCCATACAACATAAGAAAACTACAGTATTTGGTGACAACTGCAAGATACCTGATAAATATATCAACTTATTCATGAAAAGGATGGAGCTGGTTATTTCAGCTATAAAAGGGCAAAGCAAAAAGATCATTTTCTAGCCATTTAAAAGTTACTCAAAAAATTGATACAATGGAGTGGAAAGGAAAACAAAAGACTGTAAGCACCTTTAACAATGTTCTTATGTTCCACTGATATACAAACCTCTAAGGTTTCAGTTGGCACAATCAAGTTCAACTTGTACTGACAGAAAATATTAAATTTTTTCCTATTTACTTTTTAGTATCAAACAAGGAGGTTAGTAAATTGTTTTGATTCTTCCACAGAAAAAAAGTCTAGAAGAGAGACAGGGAATGTAGTGTGCATCCCATATTAATAATTTTTACTTATGAGGTCATAATGAGTGCAAAGAGCTTAGTGATGCATCTTATTCTTTACTTCTGGACAGTAACACCGTCAGATGGTATTTTTATTGGTTTGTTTTATATCCCCCTTTTCCATCTGCCCTTTTGAAGTGCTTTTTCTTAAAACTTAAGTGATTTGCCTTCATTTTCTTATAAACCCAATTTCCTCTTTAGGTGCAGCTCTACTATTTGAAAGGAACCTTTCTGTTGTAATTTACAAGCTATGAATAACTGCTGTATCATTCTTTCCAAGAATAAACTGTGAAATGATTTAATCAGATATTTTCCACTTAAAAAAAGGGAGGCTGACCCTAGGAAGTATTTTGAATATGGGATAAACTTTTCCTTTTATTAAGTTACTTCACATTTTATGTATACCTTTTTAAATGAGAAGGACATGGAAAAAAAAAAAGAAAACAAACGCTTTGTTAACACTCATCTATCTTGTGAATGTTTGAAATCTTTTTTCCTTTATATGCTTGGTAAAGTGAGTATTTCCGAGAAGGCAAAGATCAAATCTGAATACTTCAAAGCCTTTAAAACCATACATGAATAAAACCATACGACTTTGGACACAACCAGAGTAGTTTTTTGCTTTTTGGTTCTTTTTTTCACATACACCATTAAGTTAAACTTCAAGTGCAGTGGAAAGCTACAGCACTTATTTCTGGATCAGTTCACATTCAAATTGTAACCCTTTATCTTTTTCTCAAGAATATTACAAACTGACCCTAAACATTAAAGTACACCTGTGCATTAAATCCCTGGGCATTTCCCATAATCTAGAAAAAAAGCCAAACAAGTTCTAGTGCTCAATGTAAACATTTTTAACTATTAATGATTTACTAATTTTCCTTAAAGGTACTTAGGAGTGTGTGTGTCATGTATTCAAAGTTAACCTTAGGAATAGCACCATAACCAAAAAAACCCATAAAAATGATTTTCTCCATTATCTCTTAGTTTTATTTCATAACTTGAGAAGCTACCATTGTCAGCTATGCTTTTAAAGAACATCAGGCCCATTCTTGCTTCTTCTGATGAAACCAAATCTGATTAAAAACCAAAATACCACTTCTATATACAAGGGTCTAACTATTTTGGACTGAAAGAAAACACGGTAATTGGATGACCATTCAATGACCAATTAATATGGTCCAAAGAAAAAGAACAGTTCTATTAATGAAGCCTAAACTGTCAAAAGATCATTTTACCAAAAGAATGTATGTACTTATGAATGTATTCCGTATTTATTTATGGATTTTTTTGGTACCATTTTGCAGATGATGGTAAACATGGAGTTATAAACCTGAGAACAGATTATAAAACAGAGAAGGTTAAGAAGAGTTTAAATAAATTAATGGATTTGACATCTATCACCAATTCTTAAAATTAGGGAAGTAAAAGGCATCCCATTAGTCTTTTCATGTCAATAGTCAAGGACAATTATCATGAATCAATCTGTTTACTATATACTTAACACAAGCTCTGAGAAGAAAAGCATCATAGTTCTGAAATGGAACCACAAATGAGAGGTAGGTTTCCCACCTATCACAGTTGATAATGTCCAAAAACATCCTTCCCCATGCATCAGAGTAGAAAGAAAAGGTACCTCCTACTATGTCAAATGGAATCGGTAACTACAAAATAGGAACATGTAAGAACATTGTCTAACATTGATACCAGTCTGATGCTTCCCTTTATCTGCCACTTCAAAGATAACACAGGAGAAAGGGTTAATTTTGTCTAAAACCAAACACAATTAGGGCTAATAAATAACTTAAAGGTGGGGTACGGTAACATATCCCTTACCTACTAAATATGTAAACCATTTGAATCAAGTCCATCTTCAGGCACAAACAAGTTAGGAATGGCCACCTACACTGGAGTTGCATAACCTATCAAGTATTTGGTTAGAAAATAAGTGTACTATTTGTGTGATAAAGTTTCATTTTAAATGGATTATAAAATTATTTTCCCATGAAACATGACAGTTTCTTATATTTGGACTAGAGGTCACTAATAAAGATAGATTTAGTTGCCCCAGCAAAGAATGCTTAGGATTGCACACGGAAGCAGTAAACTAAAACAAAGAGGTGGAGAATGACATTTAGTTCTTTTCCTGTATAGGTAAGATTTGCAATTGCACTCTCAACAAAACTCAACTCTACAATTTCAATACAGATGGGGGAAACCTACATATTAACTTAAATACTCTTTTAGCCCTGTACAACACTCTATTAAAGAACATACTTCTAAAGCTAAGGCACACAAATTTCTCTATTTCACAGAGTAAGATTATGGAAGAGCAAGATTTTGGTTAAATCCCTTACAATGGAAATCAGGAGATCTTGGACAGAAGATAAATTATATAGCATTCTGTTAGTGCACAATTTAAAAGAAAAATGCTATGACTATGCTCTGGTCTTAAGAGGCTTAAAACATGCACTCAAATTATTAAAAATAGTTTACCAGCACTTTATAAATTCAAGTTTATAACATAAAAGTGATCATGTTTTCCTCAGAAAGAGAGAAAAACCCAATAGCACTGGGAAAGAAAATTAGAAACCATTTCAGTGAACATGACCAGATCTGGTGTAATGCATTCTACTCAAGTAGCCAGGGAAAGAAAACTAAAGTGGTAGGTACCTTGCCTACAAATCATGGTTACACCTCCCATGATTATAGTGTCAGTATGCATGTATTTATAAAGAATCTGTAAACATAGGTTGTGAAATTGTTATACTACTATAGAACGGGTTACAAACTACTGCCTCTTTGACAAATTCAGAAAATAACTGCATGACACTTGCTACCATGAAAGTAATGCTCATTGGTTTTGATAACCAGGATGTCTAGTGTTTAACATATTTCAAACTCTTGCTATATGTAGTCAAATACTGTCAAAATAGATCTGCCCCCAAAATGAAGCATATTTTGGCACCTGTGCTGAATGCTGCTACAAAGACCAGCAAGTGCAAATAAAAATAACAGTCATGATTTAGTCACATTCATAACTTTTCATAGAAAAATATAAATATATTCCCTGAATTGTAAGACAAAAAAATAATTTTAACAGCCAGCTTTCACCATAAATTCCAGTCCATTTCCTCTTAAATGAACTGGCTTTCCCTCAAGGTCATAAGGTGCAATCATTGAAATCTAACACATTTTCTAAGCTTCTATCATCATCCCCATCATGGTATCTCACAGTTCTTCTACCCTGATTTCTCGTTTTTATTTTTGAACGTCGAAGAACTCTTTTAGATTTTGCATAGTCCACATCCTCCCAGTCATTATCATCCACACTTAACCTAGGGCGTTTGCTTTGTCTTTGACGTCTCACAGTTTTAGATATGTTAGCTGTAAAAGTTTTACCTTTTCTAACTACTTTTGCTTTTCCTTTCGTTTTCCTCCTTTTGGTTTTTGTATTATCAGTACAGTCAATATCTGATTCAGTTACAGATCCCAAATCTGACGATTTGGAACTAGTATCAGGTCTCAACTTTGAATTCCCAGTTGTTTCAGAGATTTTCAAATTTTCCAGTTCAGGATGCAATCTCTTCCTTTTTACTTCCTTCTCTGCAGCTTCCTGTGAATCATGAATCACTTTTGTCTTACTGAAAGGAGCCTTTCCATAGGTCCTGAGTCTTCTGCCATTCCACCTGCGTAGCCCATAATTTAGTTCCACTTCAAAATTATTCTCTGCAGTAGCTTTTTGTGCCAAAGTTGACTCAGAAGAAAATGTCCTAACAATCTCACTCCCTGGAATATGACTTTTTGAATCTTCTTCTGAAGATGCAACAGAGGAACTTTTCCTTTTAGAAGGTGCATCTATTTTGTGAATATTGGTATCCCTGTGCTTGTGTTCAGAATTCAACATACCTTCAGAGTCTGAGTCTCCATTTACAGCCTGACTAAGCACTTTTGTGCTACCCTCAGAGACAGGATCAGGCAGCTTGTCGTCAGAGGCACACTGTTCACTTGGCATTTCACAATGTACACTTCCCTCACAATCACCCAATTTCTTCTTAGATGTAGTACAAGCAAGATGGAAAGGTTTTTTCCTTCCATTTTTGCTTCTAGTGCATACATTTTCTAAACTGACATCTTCAACATCACTCATGAGCTTGATCTTATTGGCAGCCGTGGCTGCACATCTTCGAGTAATCCTTAGGAGACCTGTTCTGGCTTTTGTTGATTTCTTAACCACCTGTAAACTGCTGTCTGAGTCACTGGAACAGACCCTTTTCTTGGAAATTTTTCTGCTTTGTCCATTGTCTTGTGATGTAGAATCTAAAAGTTAAAGAGTAGTTTTCTATTAATCTTTAATAAGTAACTAAGTCTAAAGGAATTATATGTTCAACATTAAAAACAAGTCCAGAATTCACATTAATTTGAAGGGGTTACAGCAATGAATGGAATGGTCCACACCTCGTAGTACAGTCATATGTTGCCCAATAATAAGAATCCGTTCTGAGAAATGCATTGTTAGGCAATTTCGTCTTAAGCAAACATCACAGAGTGTGCTTACACACACCTGATGGTACAGCCTATTTACACACCTAGGTTATATGGTATAGCCAATTACTCCTAGGCTGCAAACCTGTAGGACATGCTACTGTTCTGAATGCTGCAGGCAGTTGTTATACAATGGTCAGTATGTGTCTATGTATCCAAACAGAAAAGGTAATGCACTGCACTAGGACTTTATGACAGCTATGACTTCACTAATAGAAATTTCTCACCTTCATTATAATCTTATGAGACCACCACTGTTCTACAGCACATAACTGTACTTTAAAGCAATAACTTTTACATGCTCAACGCCCTTCACAAATTCAACACATTCTCCTCAATAACATCCCATGATCTTGACACTGTCATATTAACACGAATACAAGTAGACTGTTTACCATAGCACTAGCATATGCAAACAGACCACTTAACACTCAGCCTCTCTGAAACATCCCATAACTCCCCAAGCTCCAATTACACAATTACTTATCATCTTAGTTTTGGCTGCCTTTTGCTCTATAGTATTTTATCAATCCCCACATACTAAGAGTACAATCTTAATTCAACAAGTTATTTCACCACTCTGTGCTCCAGTTATTACCTGTAAAATGAATAATACCAGTACCTATTTCATAAAAGAAATGAAGACTCAACTGGTTGTTAATGGAAGGCATTTAGAAAAATTTCCTAATAGAAACAGCTCAGTAACTGTTTTGTTTGCTATTAACATCCTTTTTAAATAGTCCTACTCTTTTTGTCTACTACTTAAGCTATCAACAACACAGCTTATAAATGTACCCCTCTCTGCTTTATTCAAGCCCATCTCTTAATGTAATATACCCCCATCATCAATACAAGAAGTGAAATCTTCAACAGACATAGTTCTTAAGGCCAAGATTGCCTGTTAGGTGAATAAAACTAAAGTATACTCAATAAAAAGTTATGCATACACATAATATAAAGGATGAACAGAAAAGGGTAACACAGAACGCATGGGAGGGAGAGAAACAACAAAGAGAAAAAAGTTTCAAGGGAGAAAAAAGTTTTCAGGGGGGAAAAAATCAATGTTACATTGAGGAGTAAAAGGATGGTGAGATTAAATCAGTGAACAAAGATAAATGTTCTGAATTACCTTTCATAAAATTGTTTGGTTTTTCTTTTTTGTCATCATCTGTATCTAAATCAGTTTCAGATACATGATCTGAGAAACACTGGGACACAGCAATGGGGTCACAATTCACATTTCCTGAAATTGGGTTCACTTCCATTTTATGACACTTCTCATCTTCTCTATCCTGCTCTTGCTCTTCAGATTCTGAGTCTTCTGAATCACTCAAAATCTTTGCTTTTTTAAAGAAACTCACATTCTTGTGAAATGTATTGTATTTCCTACCACCAGATTTTCCTGGTTCAGAATCTGCTTCCTCTGAGATGCTCTCTGCCTTAATTTTCTGCACAGATGTCGACGGGCCAGCAGTTCTGTTACATTCATCATCTGAATCATGACTTTTAGAGTCTTCCTCAGAAGACTCTATTTTAAGAAATTTTGTTTTAGAAGGTGCTGGAAAATGAGACTTGTAACCATTAGCATGCCAATTTTTCCGGGCTACCCGCAAATCACTTTCTGACTCTGAATCTCTGTTTTCAGATTCATCAACATTACTCTGGGCAGCATCAGAATTAGACACTGGTAATGGTTGATTTTGATCTTTTAGCTCCTCTTCTTCTATTTCTGACTTTAAGCTCTGATCATCTTCAGAATTATGTAATAACTTTTTTCTAGCTACAGCAGAAGCATTGCGGTGAGGCAGCTTCCGACCAGAACAGACACTTTCAGAGCTAGAATTCTCTTCTACATCACTCATTAGTTTTATCTTATTGGCAGCCACAGCAGCACACTTCCGTAAGACTTTTCGGTTATTTCCAGCTCTGGCTTTTAGAATTTCACCCGTCTCCAATGAATTGTTATCAGAATCACTTAAATAGACTCTCTTTCGAGTAGCTTTTCTGCCACATCCATTTTCTAATGAAACAGGACCTAGAAATAAAGTTAACAATAAGATTAAAAAGTGTTTCCTTATTTCAACATTTTTAAATGACTACTATTCTAATGATTTTCTTCACCTTTTTTGGGGCGGGGGAGAAGGGAGTTTTGCTCTTGTTGCGTAGGCTGGAGTGCAATGACACAATCTCGGCTCACTGCAACCTCCACCTCCTGGCTGCAAGCTATTCTCCTGCCTCGGCCTCCTGAGTAGCTGGGATTACAGGCACCCGTCACCATGCCTAGATAATTTTTGTATTTTTAGTAGAGTCGGGGTTTTGCCACATTGGCCAGGCTAGTCTCAAACTCCTGACTTCAGGTGATCCACCCGCCTCGGCCTCCCAAAGTGCTGGGATTACAGGTGTGAGCAACTGTGCCCAGCCTTTTCTTCACTTGTTAATGCCAAAATTCATTTCCTTCCTAAATCTAAAGAACCTACAAGACATTAATCTTGTGTGTAGATATATTAAATCAAGTTGGATTCTTTCAATACGCTTTCCACAGAAGTACCACTGAGTCTCTTACCAGTTTTTCTTTGAGCAGCTCTAGTTCTGGTTACCCTGAGATTGCTGCTTCTGGATAGCCCACTACGTAAGAAGGAATCACGAGCTCTTGAATTCTCTTTGATTTCCTCAGAACTACTGGAAGCTGACGATGATAAAGAGGTAGCTAAAGAATCTTCCATTTCACTTTCTAGGAAAAATAAAGTGTAAATAGTTACATATATTCTTTTGTCTTTACACACATAAGCAAGCAGTTAGTTCATAACATTACTCTGAACATTACATAACATTACTGCAAGATTCTTGAAATGCTTAGAATGTGTTTTTAAAAAACCATTCCCCAAAAAAAGCTGATGAAATTTGGAGTATTAGAAGGTATATAATTAGCATTGCAAATAAAGATTTTGCTTCTATTTCTAAAAATAACAGATTAATCCTAGCATAGATTTACGAAATATTTATAAACAGACTTCTAATTAAAAATTAGCTACAGGCCAGGTGCGACTGCTCACTCCTATAATCCTAGCACTTTGGGAGGCTGAGATGAGTGGATCACTTGAAACCCAGAGTTCAAGACTAGCTTGGCCAAATGGTGAAACCCCATCTCTACTAAAAATACAAAATTAGCTAGGTGTGGTGGCAGAAGCCTGAAATCCTAGCTACTAGAGAAGGTGAGGCAGGAAAATTGCTTGAACCCTGGAGGCAGAAGTGGCAGTGAGCCAAGATCGTGCCACTGCACTCCAGCATGGGCAACAGAGAGAGACTCTGTCTCAAAAACAAATTAATTAATTAGCTCCATATCTACTTCCTTCTGTGATATCAGTGAGGCATTTCATATAAAAAAGACACCACCATTTCAAGTCCAGCATTTCAGAAAACATAGTTTCCATGTCTCAACATCCTTTTACCCTTTCCTAATAGCATAGTAAGCTCGTTTCTTATGGGGGCGGGGGGAGCAGGCAGTGGAAAGACAAAGTGGCTGTGAGAGAAAAATATCAGACACCAAATTGTATTTCATCCTTTGAACTTGTTCTGTTTGCCCACCTCAGCTACTACTGTCAACTCCACTATCTACCACCTTGACTCTCTGTTTCCAGGCTCTTCCCTTTCCCCTGCACATCACTGCCAAACTGACTATTCTTCCTGAAACATAATTCATTATGTGACTTTCTCACTCAACAAGGAATCCAATCCAGTAATCCAAACTCTTCTGAAAGGCTTGAACGTCGCTAAACTGTGGCAGCAGTTACACACTTGGGTGCTCAGCAACAAAATAACATAAAATTCCACTTCTCACCAGATAATGCAGAACCATTTGTTATTGGTCTGTTTCTTCTCCTTCTTTCTGATGATTCTGCTGAATCTGAAGAGTCACCAGAAGTAACACCTGAAGAGATACCAGCACTTGTCTTGTGGGTTCCAGGATAAGCTGTCCTACTTGAGGTAGACTGGGTAGGAGAACCTACCAACTCAGGAATTATTTTTGTCTGAGATTTTAACCTCTTCTGCTTGAGATTTCTGGCCAAATACATGAACAAAGGAAACAGTATTTAACCAAACAAAGATAACTAGTTCACAGAGAATGACCAAATAAAAGTATATCATATTTCTTAAACTGGGCATAGTTTTATGATCAAAACATTAAAATATTCACCATTGACATTTTATTCTGGCACTGGTTACTAGTAGTATGTCCTAACTCTAAATCTTACATACTGTTATTCAAATTTGGAGTAATGAACAAATGTTCCAAGTAAGAGTTACAGAAAATCATTTAAATACCTTACATTCCTTATGTAATACAGGTATTTGTTCATACTAAAAATTTAAGCCTCAGTAGGACCCAACTTTCTCCTCTCTTATTTTTACATCCCTAAAGACAGTATAAGGTTAAAAGGAGAAATCAACAAAACCTAAACAGAGAGGAAAAGTTAAAAAAAAAGGCATCACAAAAAATTGATTTCTCTCCCAAGACCATACTATTGACATCTAACTGCACCCATTCACCATGGTTGGCCCCTAGGCCAGGAATTCTGGGAAAAGAGAATGGAAGCTTAAGGCATGTGAGAAATCTGGGTAATATTCATACTGAGATAATCCTATTTTCCTTTAAAACAATAAGAAATGGCTGAGCACACCCATAATCCCAACACTTTAGGATGCCAAGCCAGATGGAGCAATTGAAGCCAGAAGTTCAAAACACCAGCCTGGGCAACATAGCATGACCCCATACCTACAAAAAATTTAAAAATTAGCTGGGCGTAGTGGTGTACGCCTATGATCCTAGCTACTCAGGAGATTTGTTTGAGCCTAGGAGCTTGACGTTATGATGAACTATGACCACACCATGCACTCCAGCCTGGGCAACAGAGCAAGACCCTGTTTCTTTAAAAAAAAAAAAAAAAAAAAAAAAAAAAAAAAAAAA